GTATCTCTCTTCTTGTTTCTTTTCTTTTCCTCCAACAACTGCTGTAATCTCTCTTCTTGTTTCTTTTCTTTTTCCTCCAACAACTGCTGTAATCTCTCTTGTTTATTTTGCTGTTCGAGCTGCCACTGTTGCAGGTTTTCTTGCAACTGCTGTTGTCTCTCTTCTTGTTTCTTTTCTTTTTCCTCCAACAACTGTTGTAATTTCTCTTCTCGTTCTTCTTATCTATTTTCTTTTTCCTCTAACAACTGCTGTAATTTCTCTTCTCGTTCTTCTTGTTTCTTTTCTTGTTTATTTTCTCGTTCTTCTTGTTTCTTTTGCTGTTCTTGTATTGCAGCCATCAAGTCTGCTATGCTGTAGTTTGATTTGCCGCTTCTCGTTTCCATTTTTTTTTGTCCCACTCTCTGACACCAATTTGTTACGCCTCCAGTCGTTAGTTGATTTTACGTAACTTCGTTCCGACGAAACTTTAGCGACACAAGTCCTTTCTTAATAAAACTGGTTTATTCTTTTTGAATATAACTTTACCGATACACTTATTTTCAACAGTCGCTCTATAACAAACGCTATAATAACGAACGTTAACTTCAACAATACTTTCTGACTGCAGTTCAATTACTCACTACCTACACACATTATCCCATCACGTTGTGAGCGTCCTATATATATACCAGACTAACATATATCTAGTAAATGCTAGGACATTCACGAAGGAACAAGATATTTCTAGAAAATAGGTGGCGTGACAATAGTCACATGATCTCGCTGACGCAACACTACTTTATAGTTTAGTCTATTGTAAAGGAAAGAAATGCTGTTGACAATATTGAAATGGTGAAAAAGATCAAATCCAGCAGCGAAGAAGAACCAGTAAAAGAGAAAAAAACGACAATTATGTTCCTCTACAATTGTACAACGCGAAGAAGCTCCTAAATGGAAATGTCGCATATAAACATAAATATATTAATAAATGATGTAACGTTAACATATTCAACTTTAGATACGATATTTCCAGCCAACTGGAAATGTATCAAAGTATCTGTCAAAACACTATATCAGTGTACGAGGGAAAACTCTGATTATCCTGGTGTTTCTCTGCAATTTTTATCCGGCATGAAACTTCGAGACTGTCGTCAATATATTCAGCCTTGTACACCAATTGGCCGTCAAAAGAATGGTTTTTATCGACGATTACAAGACTACTTTAAAAGTGTATAACATTCTCTCATCACTGAACGTAGGTAACTGTAACTTAAGGAGAACCGTATGATAATGTGTAATGAATATAAAAATATAAATTATTAGACACATATTTCACATGTGTTAGACCATGATTCACTGAATTTAACTCGCATATACACATACGTTTCATGAGACTTATCATGTAAAGTTTATGACCGACTTTGTGTAGTACATATACAGACATGAAGTGTATTTTGTGAATAGTACATTCCTACTTTTCATTACAGTAAATAAGAGTATAATAGATGTTCCTAAACACTTTATATTGAATTAAAGTAATACTTTATGACAGAATGTATACAGAATTTTTTACATTTCCAAGCAAAAAGATTTGATTCCATTTTACATGCAATATATGTTTAACTACGTATGTGTTCATGCTTACAAACATTAATAAAGATTATGAAATTCCAAAGCCTTACGTTTGCGGGTGGTTTTCTGGTAGACCTCTGATTGTATATTACCGAATGAAGCAACTGTTAAAAGACATGATAAAAATCCGTCTTGATTTTTGCAGTAGGATAAATTACAGTTTACTTCAATAAATCTTTATCTCGTTAATCGTCTTCTAAGTTTCACTAACATATTTTACATTACCTCAGCTTTCCACAGTAGCATTTCTTCGTCACTTGACAATCAGCTCTTGAAACGAATGATTTTCTGTTTTTGTTTATCTTCACAACACATCCTGCTTTCTTCATTTCACCTGTAACAACTGACTTCATATATCTTTCCAAATACTAAATCCACAAATCCCTCGCTGTTGCAAAGATTTAATTACAGTGTACGTTGTCAATTCCAAACTGAGTTAACTTACATGTGATGACACTAGATCAGTAGTGTTAATTACATTTGTATTCGTAGTCATAGCAATAAATTGAACGAAACAGGATATATGGCTTTACTTTCTACCATGGGGATCTGTAACTAGGTTTCTTCATGTATTTAGAAACCTGTTGATTTAAATGGATAGCAATGTTATTCGTTCTACTACAGATTAGAGGTGATATACCAATTACGTGATATTGAAACAGACTTCGAACTTTTTAGTTTATTATTAAGTTTGTGTGGGTTTTTTCAAGAGAAACTTTCAAGATTAGATTCCCGTTAAAAGTTTAGATCGACGTGCGTATTTTCAAGCTAAAATGTTATTGGCGTCACATTTTCAGTCTTAGCTTAGAAGGCTACATCTCTGCATTGTATGCAAACCATAAAAAAGTATTTTAATAAACAAAGATACACAGGGATTTTTAGAATACTACAAAACAAACACTTATGATTAAAGTATCTCACTTTGTTAGAATTATAACGTGAAAACAAAACGTAAATTTCTTATGGCTCTACGTGCTTGTAAGACTGATTTTTTCTTTTCAGTACTATCATTTCACGTTGTTTGCCATAGCACTAAATGAGTTAAACAATGATATGAAAAAACTGCTTCCACCAACTGACTCCCGATTACGTCCAGACATTCAAAAACTGGAACTCGGAGATATAGGTAAGATTATTTTACCAAACTATGGTCAAAGTTAGAGTTGTTGGTAGTTTTATTCCTTCACAGTCAAATGACTAAATACAAATTATTACCTTCCGTCATTATTACTTACCAAGCTATTCTTCGTCCCTTCTGATTTTCATTTTATTGAATGAGTATTCCAGTTATTGCTAGATTTTAATCAATTGACTTTTCTCTTGACTTGTGAGCTACGTAATTTTTTGGTTTATTTATGGCATGGTTAAACTTTATTGATCATCCTTTGAATTCCTGCATTCTCCTCCTTAACTTATAATGTCTGTTTTTTGTTGTGTTTTTTTTTTGTTTAGCTTCCTATTTGAGCTATTGATCTGAGCTTTGTATTTCTGATCTCCTAGACTTATTTTATCAATCTTGCTTTGTATTTCTACTTAGTTATCTCACTTATTCTTGTTTTGCCGAATGAACTTTATTTTATATTATCGATGTTGCAAATACATTTCCTAGCTGGTTTGCATAATTATTTTCCTCTTTCAGTATGTATAAAATTGACTGTCCCAGTTTGCTAATTTAAAAAGTTGTTCTCACAGTCGGTCGATGATTTTTACACTCCATAAAATACTTAACTATTGACTGAAATGGGCAATTGTTCTTACAACTATCTATTATTATGCAGTTGGTGTACTTTGGTGACAGATTTTCTTGTAGGCAGATTTTGTTAAACAAGACACTTCAACGATACCTGGACAGCCGCCAAAAAAACACCACTACCGAAAACTCCACTGAACAACTCAAAGTCTACTATAAAAACCAATTCTCCACTGCATACAAGACAGACGAACGGATTTTAAAGGATATCGTTTACAAAAATACTACACCAAGGAAACAGAACACA